AACATTTTTAGTTTGCCAAAAATTATTTTGCTTAATTAGCTCTTGTTTTTGCGATATTCTGAAATAAGGGTTTTTTAACATGCAAATATTACCATTAAAATTTGTATATTTTGTTAATAATATAAGTCGAACTTTGATAACTCGAAGTCTTGATAACTTGAATCAAATTGGTTGGCAAAAACGACAAGAGTGAAAATTATGTGTAATTTAATAACTCGAAATTTTTTGTGCCAAGTCATGGTTTGAGTTTGACTGTAATTTAACCGATGATGTATACATAGCTCCCAAGCAGCATTTTTGGTTCCAAAAACCATTGCCAAAGTGGTGATAACTTTAAATTAGTTAAGTATACTAAACAGCTACTTTAATTTTTACTTAAAAGTAATTCTAACTTTTAAATAGCAATATTTTGTAACAGAAACTTAATTTTTCCTTAAATTGTTACTATAAAGTATACTTATTATAATAAACATTTAAGTAAAACTTGGTTGCCCCCAAGAAGACTTTGCAACTTTAAAAAAGATGTTATAAGTAAAAAAAAACTTTCAAGTAAATTTTATTTGTAGCAGTTACTTTCGGTTGCTACCTAAAGATTACATTATAATTATTTTTACTTTGTAGTCCCTTTGCAAGTTAAAATCTCGAAACTGGAACATGAGTTAAAAACTACAAAGTTAATAACTTAAAAGTTATTATTTTAGTATTTGGAACGTTTATGGTACTAACCAAAACAACCGTAAAGTGGAAAAAAACTTTAAAGTAGCGAAAACTACTTCAAAGGAAAATGCTTCTTATCGGCCATTTTTTACTGTACAGTACCACGTGGTAATGTAAATAATAAATTATTTTAATTGTTTGTAAATGGTTGTTTACTTTTTAATAAATAGAAATATTGTTGGTAATAGACGGTATTAATAATAAAATAAAAAAAATAATAATAAATATTAAGATTTTTTTATTTATAAACATTACTAAATAAATAAATTGTTTATACTTAAATATTGATGAAGCGCATTTATTTTACAAAAACTAAATTCATAAGTTCAACAGTAAAATTTAAAGGGTTTATAAATCTACCTGTCTAATTAAACATTATATTGTTATTCTGGAAGTTATAAACTACCAGTACATATTTAATAAACGACGACATTGAAAAGCCAAGTCCGTAGTGGTTCCATTTAAAAAAGGAGGGATAGTATAATCTAATATAAGTTTGACAAAGACAGTTAATATAGAAGTAAAAACAAATAATAAAAGTAATTATAACGCTCTAGCAACGATATTGGAACGTTCTAGTAACGTAGCAGCTACGTCCCAAATAGTAGCAGGGTTGGTAGTGACATATTTGCTACCTTTTTGGAACTCAATAATTGTTCCCCACTTTAGTCGTAACGTAGTAATGAAAGAGTAATATAAAGAGACCGGCGACTGTCGCAAAACACTTTGAAGTTTCTTCAATAGTCCCATATACGTAACAAATACTTAAATTGTTGCTTGGGCTATAGCTATGGACCCTAATCTACAAAAAAGGTTTCTTTAGTTTAATTTGGGTACTTGTCGGTTTTAGAAATAACTTAATAAATTTGTGTTATTTTTAATTAAAATATCTTAAAAAAATTCTGCAAGTTTGTTTCAAAATGTTTACGTGAGTCATTTAAATATTTATTTGTCATTTAAATAATTACACTTTAACATTTATACCAATAAATTATTTAGGGAAAAAGTTAAACAAAATTTTTTCAGTTAATTTACAACAAAAATATGTACAAATCATTTCAAAATCCCAACCATTCTGCATGTTATAAAATTTTGAAAACATGTGTACAAACAGAACAAAATGTCCGTTATTATTTTGTTATCTAAAATATTCGCATTATGTGAAATTGTACCGTACCTATATTTAATTTAAAAAAATATATACTTTTGTACAGTTTTATATAAACACTATTTTTTAGATAGTTATTTTGAATCAACCATTTAATAAACGATATATCTAATGTAGAAAGTTTTAGAAACACGTTTAGACAAATATATAGTTACTTTTGGTAAATTATAGGCTATCCAAATATAGTGTAGACTCTACACTGTAGAATATAAGAGAAGTGAAAGTGCAGTGAGATTAACCAATTAAAATCAATTTTGGATTCTTTATTTGCATTATTTGCATGTTTATCAATATTAAGTTGTTAGAATTGGAAAATATTCGTAGGGTCGGGATCATCATTGCCAATTAGTGAAAATGTGAAAGTAATAGAAGATTTGTCAAGTTTTTTAAACTTGACATTGAAATTTTATTTTAACTGAAATTTTACGTAACAATAATAATTTGTCTATTAAAAAAATCAGTGGCGGGTACACCTTAATTATAATGCATATTTTTTAAATGTAGGTACCCCGTTGAAAACTAGAAACTAAACTAGAAATAAATTTGAAGGATTGGTTTAAAAAACTTTAATTGTTTAAATTTATAAATTTTGAAAATATTTAGAAAATATTTTGACAAAACTTGACAGAAACATATTTTTTCTACTCCTATTATGGAATTTGACCGTTTTATTATCACTTTTATCTATGGAATGACGTATATTCCGTAAAGTGTTACAGAATGAAATATTCTATCACCCTATGATAGAATAAACACTCGTGGCGACATCTCTGTTTTTAATATCTAACAAATTTTAGACCGATCCAACCTCACTTTCTTCCAATCAAATGACTTTTCTATGGTATTTTTTGGAAACGTAGAAAAAGTATAGTCTGAAACACGTTTGGAATTGCATATTCCGCTCTCGTGAAACCTCTTCACTCTTCACTCGAGAGGAATATGCTGTATTCCAAACTTGTTACAGAATATACTATTCTTGTTTTGCGATTTGTTTTGGAAAAACTCATTTGATTAAATTTTCTCCAGCATTTAGGGGGGCAGCTGACCCCCGGGGGTCCCAACTTCTGTCGAAAACATTTTGTGTAAGTTTACCTAAATTACAAAAATGACACAATCAACAATAATTAAGAAACTTCAAATCTACAATTTGCATTGTGTCATTTTTGTAATTAATTTAATTTTCTCACAAAATGTCCCGTTTTTTACTTGGCGTCGACCAGGACTGATTTGCTTATGCAAATCTAAATTTAGTGACTGATGTAGACTCAACATCTAATGTTATCCAACAATTTATCGAAGCAGAAAATCATAAAGAATTAAAGTAGTTTAAACTTTGTTATGAAAGTATAGGTAACAATAAATTAGACAATAATAACATGAAATATAGAAACCATATTCCATAAAACGAAATAAGTACTAGCAATTAGGTCTAAAGTTAGAGGAAATATATCATTAATAATAAGTTGGCAATATCGCAATAAACGCTCCACTTTTACTTTTTATCGGTTAATCGAATTTAATTTTAATAACAAAACATTTCAACAACAAAAAAGATGCTAATACGCTAAAGAAGCATCGGGTTTCCGCAACGCGCTCCATCTGGTGGCGCTCGATAGCATTGTTGAACTGCAAGGTTTGTCAAAAAAAAGGAGGTAAAATTCTTACTCGACAAATTTTGTTCGCAAAGTTTCAATTGCGCACGTTATTTGTGTTTTGCGTTGCAAATTTTTATATCATTGATTAAGAAACTTAACGCTTCTATGCTTATATAGTTACGTAAGTGTGTATATTTTATCTAAGTGATCATGGTTAATTATTGTTTTTAATTGTTAATGTAATTAAAGTTCTAAATTGTTGTATTTTCATGTTTTGCCAAAGGATCAAATTGGATTGGATTTATATTTAAGTTTGGACATTTAAATCTAACAAAAAATAATGGTTGTACAAACATAACCTTAAAATCAAACATTTTTATTTTGTTTTTATATCCGCCGACAACTGCATTTTATTACTAAAAGACAAAATAAATGTACGAATTCATGGCAATATAATATTATATATAATTCATAATATATTACCCGTTTTTGGTATTTTACCGTTGAGTGAAGACTTTCTCAATTAACGCTTAATTAATGCATAATGCTGTTTGAATTTAGACGACTTATTTGTTTTATGATTTTTACTGAATTTAAATGTTTACAATTTTCACTTACCTAATCATTACTAAAATAAAGAAGAAATAAAGAAGTAAAATATATAAGCACAGTCATTATTTTTATGTTGTATTATGAATATTAATCTGTTGAAATTTATGCACATACCAATACATTTTTGTATTGTGCAAATAATTATAATGCATAAAGCAAAATGATGAATTACAATAGTGATATTGTGTGGTATTTTTGTATACAGTGCCAAAGTGTCTTAGAATATATAAATAATATAAATATAACATATGAATAAACATGATAGATTAAAATAAAATAAATATCACAAAAGTTCTAATAAATAAATTATAATTATAAAAATTTTAAAGCAGAATGTTAAGTTTCTTTTTCCCAATTCGCGAATATAATTATATATTATATATTATTATTATATTTTAAGTACTTATGTACATTATTTTTATCACAAACAAGTTTATGGAAACAAGCAGAAATTTTTTATATAAACTTAAAAAATTGTGCAATTGTAAAAAGTTACATAACGAAATTTTAATTAAAATAAAAAAATTAATTAGTGTATCATAAAATATAATTTATACCATACCCAAACATAATGTTTGAAACTGTCTCTGTTATAAATAAAAGTAAACACTACATGGGCACAATAATTTCGCAAAAATTATTTAAGGTAACTACAATTAAGTAATTACCTAATTAGTTACCTATTGTAATTTCAGCCTACATTAATTTTTCTGTGCAACATTATTTAGCAAATCTCTTCTCCTACATACTTAAGCGTTTAGTTTGTAATTGGCTGCAACAAGGTTAATTTGTTAAAAACAATAAACCGTTACGAAAGCATAATTGCATTTTTAAATCAACATATTATAATTGCAAGGAAAATACCCAAGTAAATAATTTAATTAATTTTGATTATTTTTTTGTTTCAGATTCCAATGAATCTCCATACGAAGACGGACAAATCGACCCGTCTCTATATGTTTATGGCGTTAAAGAAAAAATCTACAGAAAACTTCCAACTCCACTATCAACTATGAGAGACAGAAGTTTGAGTTTTTCTTATGGCGATTACGGGTAAATATCAAAAACCACACCTATACGAGGTGTGTTCACAAAATATCGTTTTTTGAAACAAATATTTATTTATTCGTCTACATTAATGTTGTCGCCTTCAAAATAGTGGATATTATGCACATGTGCCAGCTCTTCTTCCAATACTCGAAACACTTCTAAAACTCGATCTTTGGGATAGCCTTTAGTTCTTTCAGCGATGCGTTTTTAATGTCATCTATGCTTGCAAAACGACGGCCCTTTAAAGTTCTCTTTATTTTTGGGAATAGGAAAAAGTCAGACAGAGGCATGTCTGGAGAATATGGAGGCTGGGGCATCATTACAGTATTGTTTTTGGCCAAAAATTTTGTTCAAAATTTAACAATTTTGGAACAAATTTTGCTGCCACGCGTTTCATACCCAAAACATTCGAAAAAATTTCATGGGATGAGCCAATCCATATACCAACATCATCAGCGACTTCCCTGATGGTTTATAACCATTTCTTCCACTTTTTCCATGTTTTTATCGGTTGTTAATGTGCTTGTGCGTTCGGAGCGCAACGTCTTCACGGCCATCTTGGAAACTCTTATACCACTTGTAAACTCTTGTTTTACTTATAGCAGACTCACTATAGGCCTTTGTTAACATTTCACAGAATTTATTTCATTTTTTAAGCAAAATTGGTTACAAATTCTTTGATCCATTTCTTTCGAACGAACGAAAATCGCCGAGCTCATAAAACACGTCTAACCTTAGCGGCTGCCACAGACAAAGTAAACAATGAAAAAGCTTAAGTTTTTATCATACTTCGGGGGCATGTATACCAACATAATAAAGAAAATTTTATGACAACCGGGCCCTCCGAACCCGCGAAATTTAACAATTCCCGTTATTTTCTGAACACACCTCGTATACATGTATACAGGGCTATTCGATTTAAGACTTTATTATTATAAAAGAATTTTGTCAATTATTTGTAATTTTACACATTTAAATGTAAAAATATAGTTTTTAATTTTTTTATACTTAAACAAGTAGTTTTTAATGTTAACAATATATTATGTAAGTACCTATCAAGTTAGATAAACGCCATTTTAGGCAAGAGCGAAAAAAAAATTCTTCGACAAATATTATTATAAAAATAATGTAGGTATTTTTAATTAATTTAAGTATTCAGTCAGTTTATCCCTCAAAAACGCACATGGTTATTTACCTCGCCTTTCCCTTCGGCAAATAATTTCCACATTTGTGATAAAAAATACGACTTTACTGCCTTGATACATAAATAACTATTAATTTTAGTAAGCAAGCTCTATTTTGCTTTTCTTCAATCTTTGAGCTTAGCACTTCTTGGCCTAATGACATAAATAACTATTAAAAATAAGTTTCAAAACTTACTTATGCAGAAAGATAAAAGACGTCAGCCTTTTGGAAATATATACACTCACAGGCAAAATAATCGATCCACACAAATTTTCGATGAATTTCAATCGCAAATAACTTTTTTATTTGATTTCAGATTTAAACAAATACTAAAGAATATTTTAGATACATTAGTGGAGAATCGCTCACATTTTAAAAATTACTAAAAAATACACGTACTTTTATAATATACAGGTCTTAAACAAAAATATGTTTTTTACCATAAGTTTAAGACACTCTGTAGAGTGGCAAAACCGTATATTGTTCTAAATTAAGTTTTAATTATCAAGTCACATCTATTTTTAACAGTTTTGTTTTTGGTTCACCTTGATAGGTATATTTATTTTTGTTGAAAATATGGATTTTTTAAAAAACATTGCAATTTCCAATATTTTTCCTGTATGAAGAATTAAGGTTGCTATGGTCCATACATAGCCTATGGAGTATGACAGTGACAGTTTTTTTGAATCATCCCATACTTGGACATGTCATATACAGCTTTCAAAAGCTATCAAATTGTTTTTTGTAAATTAATGTGTTAATTTTAAGGTGTCTTCTTACTTTTAAAAATGTCTCCGACTGATGTTGCCCTTTGTACTTTACTTCTTGTGACGTTTAAAACACTTGACAAGTAATACTTTGACCGTCCATCCTGGATTAAATTAAGGGCTCTGGCAACATCAGTCGGAGACATATCCATTTTTTAAAGTAAGAAGACACCTCAAAATTTAAACATTAATTTGCAAAAACACTTTGATAGCTTTTGAAAGCCGTGTATGACATGTCCAAGTATGGGATGATTCAACAAAACTGTCACTGTCATTCTCCAAAGCCTATGGATGGACCATAGCAACCTTAGTTCTTCATACAGAAAAATATTGCAAATTGCAATGTTTTTTAAAAAAAATCCATATTTTCCACAAAAATAAATATATCGAGGTGAACCAAAAACAAAACTGTTAAGAATAGATGTGACTTGATAAATAAAACTTAATTTAGAACAATATACGGTTTTGCCACTCTACAGAGTGTCTTAATTAAACTTATGGCAAAAAACATCTTTTTGTTTAAACCTGTATATTATAAACGAGCGTCTATTTTTTAGTAATTTTTAAAAAGGTGAGCGATTGTCCATTAATTTATCCGCAATATTCTTTAATATTCGTTTAAATCCGACATCAAATAAAAAAGATATTTGCGATTAAAATTCATCGAAAATTTGTGTGGATCGATTATTTTGCCTGTGAGTGTATTAAGATTTTTATTATTTTTTTCAGTTCCAGTCCACGCAACGAAATTTACTCCCGTTTGGATGACATGACCCCTAGAAGAGAATCCACTGTTCCAATATACGAAGACGCAAGATATGGAGCCAGCAATAAACCAAACAACTTTGGATTAAGCAATTACGGACACTTAAAAATTGACTACTCATACAGTTGGAATAGTCTGGACAAATACATTTGTAAATAATCCCTCTACCTAAACTACACATTTATTTATTTATTTTCATTGAAAAGACTGTATCATTACTACTAAGTAGTACAAAGTCTTGTTATATAAAAAATAACTGTAAATAAGCAATCTGCATAGGATATATTCACTGATATAATAAACATTAATCATTTATGTAATAGATTTATTTATATAAATAAAATATATATAATATATTTATAAAAGCGAAACACATAAAAATAATAATAAAGCGTATTGGTTTAAGTACACAGCTTATGTATATCATTCAAACTTGTCCGTGAAAAGATCATTGCAAAAAATATTATTAATCAAAATACTCCACTCATTCCTAAGCGAATGATTCTCCTCTAATATAAATTTAGTGTCGATTTTTTTAAATATCCTACCATTTTTGGTGGGTTCCATATGTGATGATTCTAAAAATAACTCTTTAGTGGAGTATTTTACTTTTGTAAGTATATTATTTTACCCACCGTTTTGTTTTGGTTTTACTGAAGGAAGATTTGGTTTTATTGAAGAAGCAGCTGATTTAAGAAGGAAGTCCAGGTCGTTTAGGTTTGAGTTTATTGTTGTAATTTGTTGGTCCAGATCAAACATGGATTTTATCAACTTTTCAAGGCTATTTAGGATGTGATGGAGAGCTCTTTAATAAATAAAAAATATCACAAATTTAGCGCAATTTTTTATTTATTCAGTAATTTTTTATAAAAAATAATATTTGCTTTAGAGAAGCTTATATTCGTATGTTAAAAACTGGCTTAGTTATTTTAAATTTCATATTTACTACAATAATTATTAATAATGTCGAATTTTGCGAGGCAAACATTTTTTAATAAGGAAATATAGATATACAGGGTACACCAAGTATTCGTCTATGTGTATACTGGGCTGGTCCTTATTTGCGAAAAATAGTTTTTTTATTTTCAAGAGAACTACCTACGTAAATTTTGTATGGGACCATTTTTATGCAGATTTACCCGAGAAACAAATTTTATCATTACCAAAATTTACGTAACATCAAAAGGTTAGAGATAATAGAGAAAAACTGTTCGTCATCTTTGACCTTCAATATTTTGCAACTTTGCAGCGGTTCTCAAATAACTTCAAAAAAACTGAAAACCTTAAAAAATTAAAAATCGTTATAATTTCGGTATACCTGGGAATTTTGAAGAACGTAGGTTTTACATGTAAACATATACATTTATCTACATTTTCATCCTTTAGACATCATTTGATTCCTCGATTTTTTTTATATCTACCATGTAAAATTCCAATATGACAACAAGAAATAACAAATTAAATGTGAAACTTTCAAAATTTCCAGGAATACCTAACTAAAATATAACAATTTTTAATTAAAGGTTTTCAGTTTTTTTTCAAATTACTTGTGAACCGCTTTTTTCAACTTTCATGTGGTATTTTAATAGAATTAATAGTAATTAATAATTACTAATTACGCAACTTTTCTCTAATTTAACTTACTTTGTAGATCTTCAAATAAAAAAGATAACCATACATAGGATACTTGGTGCACCCTGTATATTATAAGTTATGTTCATAGAAAATGATAAACTTAACACAGAAAAATAAATTTGGGTCCAGAAAAAAATCAAATTTAAGAAGCAATTTATAATTATATTATACAAAATATTACGAAAGTTATCTTAAACAATCAGAAAACTGTGGTTTCACTGCTTTTATTACTTTACAACACATTCTTGTATATACTTGTTTTGCAAAATAAAATTTGGAATTACATAAGTTTTTGTTTAACCAAACCTTCCATTGGAGGTAATCTGGCGCCTCTATTTTTAGAAATATTATTATTAAATAAATCAACATTAATCAAGACGATTTTCTCAGAAATATTATGTTTATTTTACATTGCAAAACCATAAGTAAACATCCTAACTCAAGGAAAACGATAATAACATTTTTTTAAATAAATTCGTTACATTGTTAAATAAACCACTGGGACTTCATTTTAAATAAGGGGTTTGTAATATCTTTAAAAAGAATAAACTATAAAAGATATAAATTCTAGACCAACGATTTTAAATAAAATTTACTTACTTCATGTATGGCTGAAGTCTTTTTGAATTCAGAAAATCATCTTTCATTTTAATAGCTTTGCTTATTGTTTGTGTTACTTTTTTCAAATCATCTGATTTAATTTCATTTTTTTCCACCATCATCACAAAATTCTGGTATCTAAAAAATCAAGGTTATTAGAAAACAATATGGTAACAATTATTTTCCTAATCTTACATTGAATCTACATCACATTTTTTCATAACGTCATCAACGACTCCATAAAGTTCTACAGTTTTTTGAGAGTGGTTCCAATCAGTATGCAAGCGTCCATTTAACATTTTTAATTCATCAAGGCATTTTTCTGTTTTATCGAGAACATCTATGTACTTTAATCTTAAACTATGGTCATGGCAGCTTTCAAAACTTAAATTTAGTTTTCGCAAAACTAAACTTAAATCATTAAAATCCTTTTTCACGGTTATGTACTTTTGCTGACTTACTAGGCACAAATTTTTAATGTATGCAATGTACAAATTAATGGATTTTTTAATGTATACTATAGTTTTGTGATCATTTTGTAAGTAAAAAATACTTTGATGGCACAAATTTACCACTTCTTTGGGCCCAAAGTTAAGAGAGCCCTCAAACAGCTTTCTTACATAGAAAGGAAAATTATAAGCACTGTCTTTATTGAAAAAACAATCTTTACGAATAACGTATACATTATTATTTGGGCTTAAATAATCCACAACCAAGTGATCATCAGGAACAGGGTTAATATTTTTTGAAAAAAGCACCACAAATTTCTCCTTCTCCACTTTTGTATCACGCTGAATCCACTGTTTTAACGTACCAATTAAAGTGGAATCCTGGATTTCATAGGAATACAACTCAAGCTTATGCAACCAAAAAACATTTAACATTCTTTTGTTTACTATACTTCTCATTTGTTGAAAAACTGTAAGGCCATTAGGAAAATTCTTTTCCCTTTCTTGTGGGTTGAATTGTAGTACCTGTTTAAGCCATAATTCAATGTTAGTTTTTAGACAGCTTGATATTTGATTGTACTTTAATATTTCTTTGGACGATTTAAAGCTCCCTGAAGCATTAGTTTCATAAATACAAATGATCTCTGGATCTTTGCCTTTGATATATTGAAATCTGTAAAACATAATTACTATGTATAATATATTACTATAATCAATTCAACAAGTGTCTTAAATAGAAGAATAAGTTTAAAAATATAATATTTATTTATAGACCAGGGTCGATAATTTTTGAAACCAAAAAAAATAACAGTACTACTTAGGATGAAACCCATTGGAAAAGGAGAAGAATATAATAAAAATGAAAGGAAAAATAAATTACGGGCGATCTGACTTCGGGAAGTGGGAGGGGGGGTTTTAAGGGTAAAAAATGGTTTATCTCGATTTCCGGCAAAACTACAAGTCCTATGGAAAAAAGTTAAATGGCAAAGTTGTAGGTAATAAAAGGATCTACAACTTTTGTAATTACAATTTTTTTACATAACCTCAAAATTTATGTGAAAAATTCAAAAAACCAAGTTTTTGGTTTTTTATTTTTATCTTTGAGTATGAGTATGAGTATGGGAACGTATGGCAGGCCCCAGATATATTGTCATCCACTGATCTCCCGGGGTTATATTACCCCCTTTCCGTTCTCCTGCGTATCCCGCCAAATCACAGTTTGTTTGTTGGATCCGAAGTTTTTACGCCGGCTGGTAGATCCACCCTAGGAGTTCGTGGATGACAGTGTCAAAGGTTAAGGCCGCTCCCGGGATTTTTGTCAGCCGGGTCGGGCCATACGTCCAGTTTAGGAAGGGTTTTTGGAGGACATTGAACTGACCCAAAACTAAGTACAATCCGGAATCCTCCTAAACCAGGGCTTTAGTAATAACCCCATTCATTTGGTATTCCTGAATGGGGGTGGGTATGTTAGTTTTTTTGCTTACTCCGGCTACCAACCTTGTATATTCTTTATTTATTTTATTGCTAAATTAGTGTTTATACCGTTTTCGTTTAATTTATGTCTTTGCATTCTTACTTTTTTTCCAAATTTAATTTAAAAATATAAATATTAATATACAAAATAGATAAAACCGGCCATGTAGTGTATGTGGTGGAATGCCACCAAATGGTCTGCATTGACTATTGATAGGATCGTTCTTCTTTTCTTCTGTTCTGTTCTTCCATTTGAGCCGGGGTGTTAGTACGCTGTCCTTGTTGGTAAACTATTTATTTTGTTGTTAAATTAGTGATTATACCGTTTATTATTATTTATTTTGTAACTTTGCATTCTTACTTTATTCCAAATCTAGCCTAAAAATAAATTAATTCACGAAATAAATACAGCCGGCCCTGTGGTGTATCGTATTAATTTTTGAAGTACGGACTTAGTCAGGCGTGTAACGTATGCTTTACAGATGGTTTATTTACGTTATTGGCTATTGAGTTCTTATTATCATCTTTGGGTTTGATTAATGGCTGTGACCAGTGGCGTGCAGGACGGGCCCCGCAGGGCCCGCGGTGCGGGGGGGGGCCCCGACCTTAGGGGGGCCCCGTAGAGAACCACATTGGGTGGTATAAGTGACAAAGGGGCCCCAGCTCAAAATTTGCGGGGGGGCCCCCGATCACCTTTGCACGCTACTGGCTGTGACCCTAAATGCTTTACAATGTTACTTATTCAAACACAACACTTTTTTAATGAATTTTGTCTTCTTGCTTGATTTAGTTTATTTACTCTTACGCCTTTTTCAATGGTTGTTTATGATTTGTCTACTATGAGAAAATGAGGTTGTTTGTTTAACAATTACGGAAATGTTCTTCTTATTTTTTAATTTTATTTTTTAAAATTTAGTTTTTATGACAGATAAAAGAATTCTTAGATTTTTTGGCAACATTGTGAAATGCTTATATATAAACATTTAACGATTATACGGTAAGACATGCAATTAGAAAAATTAATTAGCTTGATTATTAGGCTATAATCCTGATGCTTTGTCTTTCGCGGGATGTCCTTTGTTCCTTCTCCTGAAGGTTTTGAGACGCTCTGATCCAGGTGTGCCGGTTGACTTATCGTTGTGGCGGCTACTAGCCTTAATTACTTATTCACTTGCACACTTTTACGGCGTTATCTCGCAATTTTCGACCTTGTTGCACTTCTTGCACTTGTTTGTTTATTTATTTATTTATTAACGATTACCGATATTTCCGGATACTTTGTTTCGTTTTTGGTACTTTACGTTTGTATCGTATACGCATCCGACCGCTTCGAGTGTCAAGAGCCAACTGTTTGGTTTTTTATTTTTATCTTTTTGAAAAAAAAAAATTTTTCCACGAAATTTGGTGAAAACTTACCTTTTTATGTCCCAAATACACTGCAATTTATTTGATTTGAAATATTTATTATTTCGCCTTATTTTGACTTAATATCAAAAAAGCACTCTAATTTTCAATCGAAAATTCTCGCGTCAAAATATCAGCTTTTTTCAAAAAGTCGGTGTGCTTTTTGTTCGTTGAAATCTCTACTTTCTGATGGTGTAAAAAATATATACATTACTATGGTAAATGTTCTCAGAAAATGCAAAAAATATTATAATGAATAACGAAAAAAACTCGAATTCGAAAATTTATTTTAATCATTATGTACAATTTCATCAAAAAAATGGGATTGTTGCAATTTTTTTTAGTTAAAAAGTTTACTTATTAAATTCTAATAACATTTATGTCAGAAAATCTCATAAAATATAAAAATACATGTAAATCATACTATTGAATTTAGATACTTCATTCTGATTATGTTATTCATTATAATATTTTTTGTATTTTCTGAGAACATTTACCATAGTAATGTATATTTTTTACACCATCAGAAAGTAGAGAGTTCATCGAACAAAAAGCACACCGACTTTTTGAAAAAAGCTGATATTTTGACGCGAGAATTTTCCATTGAAAATTAGGGTGCTTTTTTGATATTAAGTCAAAATAAGGCGAAATAATAAATATTTCAAATCAAATAAATTACAGTGTATTTGGGACATAAAAAGGTAAGTTTTCACCAAATTTCGTGGAAAAACAAACTTTTTTGAAAAAGATAAAAATAAAAAACCAAAAACTTGGTTTTTTGAATTTTTCACATAAATTTTGAGGTTATGTGAAAAAATGTAAATACAAAAGTTGTAGATCATTTTATTACCTACAACTTTGACATTTAACTTTTTCCCATAGGACTTGTAGTTTTGCCGGAAATCGAGATAAACCATTTTTTACCCTTAAACCCCCCCTCCCACTTCCCGAACTCAGATCGCCCGTAATTTATTTTTCCTTTAATTTTTATTATATTCCCCTCCTTTTCCAATGGGTTTCATCCTACTGTTATTTTTTTTCTCTTTTTACCATTTTTAAAGGCTTCTGCACTGGTCTATTAATTAATTTTGTTGTGGTGAAAAAAAATTAAGGGGGTATTGTATAATCCTGGGAGTCAAAAAAATGTTGCGAATCCCTGATCTAGAAGATTCAAATATATCCATTATTACTACCATTGCATTACTTAGTTACTTATAATTACCAATTTATTAAAAATAAACACATCTAAACCCATTTAAAACATATAAAATAAAAAAGAATAAAATATTTTTTTACATTACACCTGTTTTAAATTAAATTCAACAAATATATTAATTGAACTATCCCCTTCTAAGTGAATGGGGATATGGGGGAATTTCCACCTAACAGCTTCAGTTATTGAGGGGTCAATTTTTTATTATTATTTTAAACTGTATACTGAATACTATTCTAAATAACATTATCTCTACATTTTATGTAAGAAATAATTTACTGCCCCCCATAGATTTATTTTTGGATCCGCCCCTGCCTCTTACAAATATAAAATACTATATTTAATTTGGAAATACTAAAATACAGATGATTTTAGAAACAGCAAATATATTTTCCTTAAATAGTTTGCAATATTTTCATAAGTATACTATTAATAATTATTCTTAATTAATACCTATTTTAGAAATACAGAAAATAGAAGATTTTCGTTAAATATATTTAAATTTATAAAGGTAAGTAAAGTGTCATTTTTTATAGCTTATTAATACAGAAAATAACAAATTCATCAAGTGCAAAAAACACTTTTTGTATTTTTTCTGCACTGAAGTTTGCATCTTCTGTATTTGTCAGCAAAACAACTACTATTCTAAAAAATAAAATCTTACCTTTCTGGTAGGGATTTTCCTGGTAAAAAAGGATGAACCCCGCAAATAACTTCAAAAAACAACACCCCCAAAGACCAATAATCCACAGCATAATTATATTGTTTTCCTTGGCAAATTTCAGGGGCCAAATAATCCAGTGTCCCAACAAAACTAACTATGGTATCGTTTAAATCTTTGGCATAACCTAAATCAATGATTTTGTAAATGGTATTGCTCTCTCTGGTCATGCAATTGTGCAGAACAATATTGTCTGGCTTTATGTCTCTATGAGTTATAGAGTTTTTATGTAAAAATTCTATTCCATTTGTTATATCCAACAGGATATCTCGCACTTCAATTTCGCTTAAACCACAGCAGTTTTTTGTTTTTCTTAACACAGTCCGCAGGTTTCCCTTATCACAGTATTCCATGGATAAAATGGGCAGTTTTGTTATGTTCTTTTTATGTAGCCCTTCTTTTAGAATGGGGGGTATTTCTTTGAAAGCTATTATATTTGGATGGTTCATGGTTTTCATTATGTCCACCTCGTTTATCCATCTCTGTTTTTGCCTCTCTGTGAGGGAGTCTTTTCTTTCGAATTTACATTTTTTCACTGCTACAATTTAAAAAACAATCTATTTTATCAATTAAAAACATCAATGTTTATAGCTAACAAAGTTAACAATGTTATGGATTTGTTAATTTTACAATCAAGATACACGAAATAAATGAAGCTTACCAATGTATTCATTTGTTTGTTTATGTTTCCATAAAGAAACAATTCCAAAAGCCCCACTTCCAAGTTCAGAAATTTTTCGCCAGTCTCCATAACACTGACACTCATTCATTTTTAGTTACTTACAACAAAAACTAATTACATTTTAACAAAAAACTATAACAGAGCATCCATGTCTGTTCTGATGACAACAAAAAACTAAATAATGAAGTATGCGAATCCTAACCTCAAACTTGCATTGGTCGAAAATTTATAAATAAAAGCAGCACACTAGACCGGTTCAATGTTATGTAAGTTGGCTATGAAGTTCTTTGCAATTTAAAAATAGAGTGCTGTATATTTTGTCCATAGTGGGTACTGTAAACAGTGACTCATGAGTCACTTGATAAGAGAATTTATATGCTGGCTTGCACTTCTCAGATATGAAAAACGGTGCAACTTTGTTGCAGAGCCACCTACGTGGTTTATTTATAAATATTTATTGATATTGATACTGAACAAATAAATGATAATAAATTGTAATTATAAATATTTTTTCGATTTTGTCCCGTTTTCAAAATACACCATTTATAGGTGCTTTTTTCCTTTTTTTTAAAGTGCCTTTTTTTCGTAAGCCGATGATTTTAGATAACTTGGGTATTTAGTCTCAAAAAGTTATTTTTTTTTAGTAACTTTTACCTTTTCTGAATTAATATGAGATTTAAAATAAAAAGGCAGATTACAAAACATACAAAAACTTTATTGGGTAACTGGTAACAAAACAATTATCAACATTATATTGGAAAACATGTAATTAAATATTTTTATTGTCCACAATATCTTTCAGGGATTCTTTGAGCTTCAAAAATTTCTTCTTAAATTCTAAACCACAGCCTTTGGAAAGTCTGAAATCCAACATCACTTTTCCATCCATTTTCAGGAGGTTTACCTTGAAAACCAGCGGGTTTTTCATCAGATCCACTGTGGAAATAACCACCTAAAAAAGGAAATTTTAATTTTGCCAAATTTTGTCATTTTAGTCTTGGTAGAATTGGTAATTTTGTTTTGGTTTTTTTTTAAAACATATCACTTTACATTTCTCATTTTGTTAAGCAAAACTGCTATTAAACATGTAACAAAATCTGAAGACTGTTAAAGGTAATTAGGCACATACCCAGAACAAAAATTACATACATAAATTCCACTCAATGTAAATATGTTTATAATAAAGCAGCTTTTCAGCTTGTATTTAAATCAAGATTTTGCGTTTGTATTTATTAAATTTAATGGTGAAAATTATGAAAAACTTTAAATTTTCTGTAAATTTCAAACTGTAAAATTGTGAACATTTTAAAATTCAGAAAATTTTGGTAATTTTGAAAGTTTTAAGTTATTGGAAATTTTGAAAAATTTCAATTTTTTTATTGTAAATTTTGAAAATTGTGAATGTTTGTAAATTTTGTTTTTTTTTAATATTAAAGACTGAAAATTGTGAATATTTTGGATATCTAAAAAAAATTGTAAAATCAAAAAATATTGGAAATTTTGTAAACTTTAAAATTTTTGAAAATTGTGGGTATTTTGAATATATTTCAAATTTTGAAAATTTATTTGTATTTCTTTGAATCTTGTAGATTCTAAAAATTTTGATAAATTAGTAGATTTTAAAAATTTCGAAAATTTAAAATTTTTTAAAATTTGTAGGACATTTGTAAAATTGTAAAAATTTTGAAAATCTTGTAATGATTTTTGAAATTTTGAAAATTGTGAATAAAGACCTATTGTAATTTTAATTAAAAATAAATTTGGTACTTCAATAAAAAATGTGTTCTCCTTTATTATTAAAAATGTTACTTAACCTCTTTTTCCACTTGCCCCTTCAATTGTGAAAATGTTGGAAATTATGAAAATTCAGAAAATATCGATTGGTAATTTTGAAAATATTAAAAAATTTGAAAATTTCGTTTAGTTAAGTTTAAAATTTTTGTAAACTGACAATTTTGAAAATTCGTAAATTTAAAAAATTGTGAATATCTAATAAAAATAAAAAACTTTAATTTTGTTTTTTAATATTGAAGACTGAAAACTTTGTAATTTTGTAAATTTTAAAAAGTTGAAAAATGTGAAAATCTGATAATTGGAAAATGTGAAAATCTAAAAAATTCTGAAAATTATGGTAATTTTGAATATATTTAAAATTTTAAAAATTTATTTGTATAAATTTGTAGGACATTAAATAATGTAATATTGTAAAAATTCGTACATTTTGTAAATTGTCACAATTTTGAAAATCCTGTAATAAATTTTGAAAATTAAAGAGACAATTAAAAATAAATTTGGTATTTAAATAGAAAAAATGAGGTCCTTTATTATTAAAAATGTTACTTAACCCCTTCTCCCACTTGCCCCTTCAATTTTGAAAATATTGGAAAATATGAAAATTCATAAAATAGCATAGCAATTTGAAAATTCCTAAATTTTAAATATTGTGAAAATCTTGTAAAATTTTTATTAAATTTTAATAATTGTACAGGGTGATCCCCTATAATGTCGCCCCCCTTTAACTTTTTTATTTTAAGTGTCCCAAAAAATTAAAAGTGTGGTTATGTAGGAACTAAAAAATACTTTTTTTCTACGTTAAAGAAAATTGGAAAATTGATCAGTATACAGGGAAAAACAAAAAGTTAATTTTTTTTCAATGGATCACCCTATATATGAATTTATTTTTCGATTCCTTGTAAAATTCTAAGCATATTTCATATATCATACCATATACCTAATTCAACCGTTTCTGAAATATTTAAATTATTTTTAAGATAATAAGTTGAAATAGTTTGTCTTTCTCTGCCTGAGTACGCCATTTTTACTTATTTAACAACACTTATTGACATAATGTCACTATAGTAATTTATTTTCAATAAAAATTTTGGTATACTGAGGCTTCTTGATTTTTAACAGTTTAAAAAAACATTTAATGATGACATTCCGAATGCGAATATTTCAGAAACGGTTAAGTTTGGGTATATGGTTTGTATATAAATTATGCTCAGAATTTTACAAGGAATCGAAAAATAAATTCAAATATAAGGTGATCCATTGAAAAAAAATAAACTTTTTGTTTTTCCCTGTATACTGATCAATTTTCCAATTTTCTTTATACGTAGAAAAAAAGTTCCTACATAACCACAATTTTTTGGGACACTTAAAATAAAAAAGTTAAAGGGGGGCGACATTATAGGGGATCACCCTGTACATAAAATTTTTTAAATATTAAAAACAGAAAATTGTGAAAATTTTGCATATTTGAAATTTTTGGAAATTTTAAAAATCATGTAACATCAAAAAATTTTTTTTGTAAATTGTAAAATGTTTAAAAATTGAGAATGTAAAAAAATTTAATTTTGATTTTTTTTTATTTGTATTACAATATTTATTGATTTTTTTTTAATATTTGTAATATTGAAAATTGGAGGGACAAGTGGATGAAGTAATAACAAATATTGTAATTTTAATAAAAATACATTTGGTGGTGCAATTAAAATTTTTTCCACTTGTTTCGTTCTTTCAACATTTTGGACATTTTAAAATTTTGTACATTTTCAAGATTTTGAAAATTGTGAAAATCTTTTAAAATCAAAAACGTTTGTACATTTTTAGTAAAATTGAGAGAATGTTAAAAATTCAGAAAATTTAGGTTATTTTAAAATAAAAAATTTTGAAAACTAGAATTTTGAAATTGTGAAAATTCGTAATTTTGAAAAAAATACATTTTAGAAATTTCGGTTTTTTACAAATTTTGGAATGTGAATTTTGGAAATTTGGAAATTTCAAAAATTCAGATTTTTTTTTTGTAAATTTCGTTTTTATTGCAAAGTTTGTAGCTTTTTAAAATAAAAAAAAAATATTTTGAATTTATCTTACCGCTCCGGAGGCGTCCGCCGCCCAAGTGTAATGGCTCTGCTCGAACGCGTTGCACAAGCACTCCAGCGTCCTCTCGTGCGTGCTCTTCACGTAGAACCTCGTCATGCTCTTGATGAAGTCCTGGAAGTTCTCTTTCGTGATGGTGCTCTGCGCGAAGTGCGTCATCAGGTCGGCGTTCTGCGCGGGCTGCGAGAAGAACGCGCCGCGCCCGTTGCGCGCGCCGCCCTCGTTCAGCTCTTTCAGCAGCTGCACGAGCGAAGCCGGCTTCCGGCTGCTGGGCAGGTTCGGCTGCGACAGCGCGACGTCGGGCGTGTCAGCGTTCTGCCGCGTCTCCGCCTCCATCATCGAGTTCCAGCGCTTAGCGGATTTCTCGCCGGACGAGTCCACAACGTCGCTTTCGTCGTCTAAAAGTTTTAAGATTAAAAAAAATACAGCAAAAAATTAATACAGGGCTCCCACAGTTAAATTACAAATTTTATTTAGGAATTAAGGAGGTTTTTTGGAGGATTTTAGGAGAAAAAAGTATGCAAATGAATTTATTTAATACACTATACATAAAAAATAAGAAAAAAATAAGTAATTCTTTTTAACAAAAATATAAATAAATATCCCTTCTTTTGTACAAATAGGTTATATTGACTAGTTTTTTAGCCAAATCGCTCGACGAGTTTTTTTTTAATAAAATGAAAAGTGAGGTAAAATTACTACTTTTGTATATACACAAGTAGAAATTTCACCACACTTTTAATTTTATTTATAAAAAGCGTCGATAGATATGGCTAAAAAAGTAGGACAAAGTTTAATGATGTTATATTTATATTTTGAAAAAAAAAATTTAACAGTTTAGTTAATAACTAACAATAATTGTAATGTTATTGTTACTAAAAAATCTCATAGAATATATAGAAATAATATAAAGTGCATGATACAGCTTTAGCTATCATTTAAAAGAAAATTAAAAATCCTTTTGTTTGATATATAACACGGTATATTTTTGTAGAAAATTAACGAAATATGGCTAAAAATGACAATTTTGTAGAAGTTTAGAAGCTGCTACATGGATTTTGTTTTATGTTATATTTTGTTGTTTTTTTAAGAAAAATGTAAGTTGTGATACCTATATCAATTTAAAAACAATTTAATAAAGTAGAACCCAAAAATATATATTTTTTAAATTACTTTTTTAAAAATTAATTTTTTAGCACAACTACCTTAATTAAACGCAGTCAAGTTGACCTACTTATATTTAATTTTTAGGAGTTTTAGGAGTTTTAGGAGATTGATGGCAATTTTAGGAGTTTTTAGGATTTAAGCCAAATTTTAGGAATTTTATGAATTTTAGGAGGTATGGGAGCCCTGTTAATACATAATTAGGGGAGTAGAAGTTTGAAAAGTGAGCCCATTATTTTCGAGGTTGTCATGAAAATTAAAAATATACAATATGTCCACGGATAGATAGATGAACTAAAATTTTAATTTTTCGACCAAGTCAATCATCATAAAAGTACCAAATCAACACTCTTACGGTCGAGACGTAATAGTTTCTCCGCTCTGAACTATAAACAATTATACAGTGCATAGTCAGTGCATTTAAAACCCAATCTAAAAGTTTAAAAGTGCGAAGTGAACTGCCACCCCCACCTGTAGAAGTCACGGAACCACCCACCTGAACACGTAGTTCATCGCAGCATTACAACAATTACAAGGGGACAACGAACCACATTCAGATACGTTTTTAATATTTGCACTTCGCTATTTGCGTAAATAAGAATTCACCGAGCCTACGGGTGTGTTTATACCTTCCCAAGTGACAAATCCGTAGAAATCAACAAGAAAGAATAAAATAGTTGAACAGGGTAAACGAACCCCTACATTAAATAGGCCAAAGATACCGAATGCACAGGCAGTATAGGACGTGACAAGTAGTACTTAATAAACACATAAATCTTAAGTAAGTAATCAAACCATTTTCTAATAAATTTTCTAATAAACACATAAATCTTAAGTAAGTAATCAAACCATTTTCTAATCTTTGCCTTAAATAAACAAACTGGGAGATCTTCTCGGGTATAAAATAAATAAATAGAAAAGCAGTAAAAATAATACAAAATTTAATTTAATTTAATTTAATTAAATAAACAAACTGGGAGATCTTCTGGAGTATAAAAAATAAATAAATAAAAAAGCAGTAAAAATAATACAAAATTTAATGCAATTTTTTAATTGTTAAATAAGAAAAGAAATTACGTGTTCTTTTTTTTCAAAGAAATAATAAAAATTTAAAATCATATAAATCTGTATGATTTGGATTTTTTGAATAAAATTTCAAATTTGTCGATAAACTATGGTAAATAATAAATTGCACCAATTAAATTTATATTATATTCATTGGGCATTGAGCAAAAAGTTATCTTTTTTTCAACAACTTTAACTTAAATTCTGCTTGTGCATAACTTGTTTATTTAATGTCATTATAAACTCATATAAATTTGGTGTGGGTCCCATATCTAATAATTGAGATATTGTGGACATACTGTATATTAATTAATAATCTACTAAGTATTAGAAAGTTACCACAACATTTTTTTTAAACAACTTCATTGGTTTATATACAATATATGATTAAAAAAATCCGTAGCATTTCATCTTCTCATGGGCGTATCTCAGTTTTGATGATTTTTCAGGAGAGCAATTTCCATTATTTTTCGTTTTTAAATTGTCAATAAGTTTTGACATAACTTCTAAAACCTAATGATTTTTTTATATAGAAGGTAGTTAAGTGGCGTTTGGTGATGGATTAGGCTTAAGTTAGGCCTAGGGATTGCAATCCAGCAGGGTTTTTAGCTGGATCCAGCGCGGATTCAGCAATTTATAATTTTTTTTAAAGAACTATTATTATTTTTATTTTCCTAAAAAAGGTGCCAATTTATAGAAAATCAAATATAAATGAAATAAAATTTTAAATCGACAGCAATTAAATGAATTAATGATTACTAAAATTTTTCATTAATATTTTTTTTTATTTAAAACATTTTACTAATTTTCATGTTTTATTATTTTTTAAACTCTCTGTATAATACATATAGTATAGTTTTTTTTATAAATTAGTTAAAAAACTGATTAGCTAGCTATACATAATAATAAATTACTATTAGTAATATGTGGACCCAAATAAATAAATTATACAGGACTGAAAAACTTTTATGATGAAAAATATTTCACTATTAGGTATATTTCAATTTTTTACTGGACAATTAAATATTTGAATAAGAATAAAATAAAGAATAAAAAGTAACCAAAAAAATAAAAGCATGTTTTTGAAAATGTTATTATTAATTGCATTTATTTTTCACCATTCTCACAAATTTTCATTAAATTTTTATAAATAGTTCACAAGAAAATAATTTTTAAATCAAATGCTACAATTTTTTTAAATCAAACACTGTAAATAAACGAATGAAGTTTTTTCAAAAAATGTGGTAACTTTCTACTACTTAAAAGATTATGATTTAATATTTATTTTTAATTTTTATACAACGTCAAAAATTATGTGCTCACTTGGAAAATTTCTACTAAGGGATTAAAAATATCTCGATGTCGATTTTGATATTTCTGCTTTGGTAATCTAGCTTTATGAAATATCAAAACAATCATACCGCTAAAATGCCAAAGCAAAAATAACAAAATTCCCTCCTCTCCATTGAAAATAACCTAAAAATTGATAAAAACAAAAAATGCTCACCATTCCCAAACTGGAACTTCATCCATGGATGCTTCTGAACCTGTTCAAGAGTCAGCCTTTTTTCACTGTCAATATTTAATATTTGTTTTGACAAAGCAAGAGCTGTATTTCCCAACTTTCTCCAAGGCGTGTCGCAAAGATACTCCTCGTTCTTCCACTTTATAAACTCCTCATTCCCATTGGTTGTATCAGCCCATGGCAACTCCCCAGTCAACATAGCAACCAGAACAATCCCGCAACTCCAAATATCGGCAGGCTGGGCATAGTACGGTCTTTGGAGAACTTCAGGGGCCAAATAAGGCTTTGTCCCACACCTAAGATATTAATTAATAAGGCTCCCATCAATTTTAGATGTAATCTGGCAGTGCCAGAAGTTGTATAAAAAAAAATAATAGAGAATTTTTTCGAAAGTAATAAAATATAGTTTTTCCGATGAATTCAAGGTAGGCCGTGACAGCAAATTCAGCGGTGCCAATGTAGTAAAATAAAAACGTTGTATTTTAATTAACAAATTAATATTTTATTACAAAATAAAATATCATTAAAAACTAAAAAGTAAGTAAGTAACAATATGAATTGTTAATTTGTTGTTATAATGGCAAAATTAAGGTTTAAAATTGTCATACTTTTGTGTTTCTTAAGTTGGCAGCACATACTACACTAATTTGAAATGAAATTTTTTTTTTATCTCCATTTAAAGAGTTTCCATAAAAAGCCTTCAAAATGTATGATTTTGTGAGGCGTCACAATCACAAATAATTTCAGATTTTTTATATGTAACATTTGTTTTTATACGCCTTTTTTGTATCTCACAAGCTTGCTTATGAGAATTACATGAAAAATAAACTAAATAATCAATTTTTAAACTACCAACATTATCCTATTTTGTTTCTTGAGTTTAAAAACGAATTTTTAAAAGAATCTGTATTCCACATTGACAAGCTGTAGCTTTATGACGTTTTAGTCAAGGGCTGAAGTTAGCAACAGTGGCTTCTGGGCATTTTAGTTATAGACTGAAGTTAGCTTTAAAATAAATTGCGTAAAAGTGAGGTTAATTTCGTCAAATGTCAAATATTACAATTAAAATTGGCTTTAAATTCTTTCTTGTGTTCGTCGTAGATAAAGTATAGTGGGAAACTCGTTTTATAAACTTCTCTAGAAACTGGTTTTTATTAAACACTCGCTTGCAAGCTTTGCCTAATAAAACCTACAATGGCGTTTATAAAACTTGATACATAATATACATTTAATACACTGGTGTATTAAGTCACAGATTATACAACTTATTAAGTTACTTATTGGGAAAAAGTGAGGTTAAAACCGTTTGTCAGATGTTAAATTAAAGTGAGGTTAAAACCGCTTGACAGTTGTAAGGTGTCAGATAAAATGTCAAATAAAATTGACTTAAAATTCTTAACAAACATTACTATGTGTTTGTCATAGATAAAGTATGTTATACAAGTCGTTTATATAAATTTCTCCAAACAAACACAAAGTAGAACATAAAATCACATTGGACATCTGACAACCGTCCGATGGATTTAACTGCACCTTTTTGCAATTTTTAATAACCCTAACTTCAGCCTAAAGACCATCCCCCTAAAGGAAATGTTTTTAGATTGAAGAAGAACTTCTGCCCATGACTAAAGAGCCCAAGAGCCTTCTGAAACATGCGGAATTAAATAATAGTTTATAATGACATTTATAAAATTTGATAATATCATTCTTCTAAATATTTTAGTATTACTTAATATGTAAAATTAGAAATAAAAGTGATGAAATATACCTAATTCACTTACTTTTTGTCCAAAAGTCGTTCCTTTCCTTTGAATCTGAAAAGAGTTGCCATTCCAAAGTCACTTATTTTGAGTTTCCCATCTGCGCCAATCAGCAAATTTTCAGGCTTAATATCTCGATGGGCAATACCTTTACCATGTAAATACTTTATACCGTTCATCAACTGCTTCATAAACTTTTGGGCCTCAGAAGATGGCATTCCAATATCAGGTTCTAAAATAAAATCAATTTATGTTAAAATTTCACAGGTAACCTCAAAATTAATGGTTTGGACTTCTTACCAATCATTTGAAACAACTCTCCACCGGAAGCATACTCCAAGAATATGTATTCCTTAGCTGGTTCCTGCCTTCTGCCATAATATTTGATGATATTCTCGTGATCCAAAAATTTATGTATCATAACTTCTCTGTTGATATGCAATGAGGCATCTTTGTACTTGTCATGATCGATCATCTTGCAGGCAATTTTTTCCTTGGTCTTACGATGCAAGAGAAGTTTAACTCTGTAAACAATATAAGCTGTTAGTGTATGAAACGCTTACTTACAAATAATTTAAATATAATTCATTTAAAAACACAATACTTACTCTCCATAAGCCCCCTCACCTAAATTCGTGTTGTAACATAACCAATCTTCCACAAAAATGCTGGCTTGCGACATTTTACTTAAAACACAGAATTGCAATAAAACAAACGTCGTTATAAAAAAATACCGAGATATTTTTAAAACGTTCCCGGTTTACCTGTTGGAACAAAAGAAAATCGAAGGCGACTTGGATGACGACTTATGTCGTTGCAATTATCACTTTATGTAAAGAAAACTATATAAAACTCTTTTAAGGCACTTCATACTATTTAAACAACTATTTTAGCCGTTTTTTAGGGAATAAACGAGAAAAAAGTCCCATCAGACATGTTAGATGAAGATGGGATATTGATTTCGCGGGTGGTACCACTGGCGCCATCTACTAATAATTTTAATTAGCCTTAGCACCTAAAATTCAAACTAGATGGCGACACATTCCAACAATTGAGTTTTTTTTGTAAATATCAAAGTGCCTTTGAAAAATTTGCGGATTTTTATTGGTTACAAATAATCTTAAAAAGGGCAGCCATGTTTCAGAACTTTAAACAATTGAACAATTTGACGCTTGCATAAAGAATCAAATTGCATAATTTTCTTGTTACCTAAATAATTAAAACTGCGTTAAAATGAGCCAAAATAACGATATTACCGAAAACATTGAAGAACCCAGCAAGGTAAAGGATACTTTGAAGAAGTTTCGTTACTGTAGCTACAATTTCTTTTCAGAAATACAAAAAAACCCAAAATGTCGTCCCTGTGGTGATTCGTCAAGTTCTACAGCAAGCAGACGCCAACTTCACTTTATTTGGGATGTCTTGCCAAATTGTAAGCTCACAAAAACAGTTTTAACACGAAATTTCAATTAAACTTTCAGCTGAAATTGGTCGCCTTGGTCAAGAACATCGAAGTTTTGTCCACGAAAATAGTTTTTAGTATTGAAGATCACACCGGTTCGGTAAAAGCGATACTGTGGCTCGAAAATGAAAACGAAGCGGATGACTTACCAAATATTAACGTCGGGAACTACATTACGTTGTACGGATGTTTGAGAGCGAATATTAGGGAAAAACTCATCGCGGCTGTACACATAAACGTTATAACCGATTGTAACGTGATCACGACTCATTTGTTGGAAGTTATCGCGGTTCGTTTGGATGCCGAGGCGAAAAGTAAAGAGGTAAGCACAAAATAACTCAGGTATATTTTATTATCAGAATTAAATCGTAAAAAGGGGAATCCCCGTCCTTAATGTTTTTATCACAGTGTTGTCAGTTTACTCTAGACAGTGCTGTCAAATGTGGGAACGTTTTAGTGGTTCTACGGATTTTTAGCAGGACAAAACAATTTCATAACCTACAAGATTAAATAATTTTTTTATGACGTAATGCCTAAATGCAATTTTTACATTATAAAAGGTATTTTGACATTTCAAATTTTGTTATTAACATTCTTAAATGTTTAAACGTGCTTATAAGCATTATAACATTCTTAAATTTAATATTAATATTTTTTAGGGTTGTTATAATATTTTTAGGGTTGTTATAATATTTTTAAAGGTACATATTTATGTTTTTAACACTTAATTTTAACATTCTAAAATGTGTTTCGCCATTTCAAATAGGGTTTTTGACATTTTAAAATAGGTATTATTTTTGGCATTTTTAAATACTTAAAGGCTAAGAAAAAATTAAAAGGATTATTCCTTGGTAAAAAAATAGTTTTTGTTAAAAAAAAACAGTTGCCATTGTATTACACATTGTGTAAGCTTCTTGGCTGGTACAAGTTTAGTGCGGAAATACGAAACATGTGAATTTAGAAAATTTTCTTGATTTGGAAAATTTTTAAATGTGACAAATTAAAAAAAAATAATATCACGAACACAATGACTTTTTTAGAAAATAGATATTAGCATAAGAAACAATCCTTGTGTGGATTTGGCTATGTCTATGGGTTTCTTAGAGCCTGAAGTTGCGGAAAATGAGCCAGTTCCTTTGAGTAAAATGCAAACAAAAATTTGCGAAATTTTGGGCAAATATAAAGATAATCCTGTGGGAGTGCACTTTACTGAAATTGTTAACCAGTTTCAACCTCATCAAAAAAGAGAAATGCTGTAAGTTTTATTTTTTTAAATTCAAGTAGGTAGTTGCGATATTTTTATTTTTTAGCAATGCCCTACAATACCTTTTGGAGGGAGGTTACGCCTATTCTACAATTGATAATGCCCATTTTAAGTTAACTAATACCAGTTTGTTATAAAGAGACAAAGAATGTTAAAACATAAAATAAATGTTGTTTGTTGAATAAGATTTCGTCACCTGAGAATTATAGTGTTCTATCTACATTTTCTTTTTTTTATTCAGGTTAGTCTTGTTTTAAGTCTTAAAGATGATATTGATGTATCTATATATAATTGGGGTAGAAATTGTAAAGTTTAAGGCTTAAACTGTACAATTTCTACCCCAATTATATATAGATAGAACAATATGCATCTTTAATACTTAAAACAAGACTAACCTGAATAAAAAAAAGAAAATGCAGATAGAACACTATAATTCTCAGGTGACGATTTGTTAAATTAAATATTAAATAATAATGAATTTAATTTTATTTCCAAAATACCTTATTACACTGCACTGTAATAAAAATTAGATTAAATCTAATTTTGTAAACATGAGTTTGCAGTTTGTTAATTTGATTTTGTAAAATTTTAACATTTTTTTGTAGAAAAGGGTTTGTAATTATTTTTCAAAGGAATATATTTTACTGAAAGTTTTGTAAAGGTAATATGCAATTTTGTAAGCATTTTGTTAATTTCAAACGTAACAAATTATTTCGTTGAAAAAGTACACGTGATTTTGGGAAGCCAATCAAAGCATTTTCCACAACAATACGCATCAACAAGTTCAACTGACTTCCGCGTCTGCAACTTATGTTTCTGCTTACTTTATTCTAATTCGTGACGTGTTCGTAACAAGTGTTCAGAGTGTTTATAATATATTACCAGAAATTGATTTTTATTGTTATTCGGATTCCTTATACCTATTTAACAAATGAGTGCGAAGTGGTTTTCAAACTTAAGTTAGGGGATACAGTGAAGTGGGTTAAAGTTACGAAATACATCAGTAAGTGTAGTAGTACTGATAATTATATTGTACCAAATTTCTTTATAATTTGATGATTTCAGAATGGTGTGTTATTTAATTGTGTGTATGTAATATTTGTGTTTATTTATGTAGGTAAGTGTTAATTTTTTTGTTTAGGAAATTGATTAATAAAGCAACTTTTTTTATAATTTTTTTTTTATTTAAGTTCCCAATTTCCAAAAAATATTTTTGTTACTTGGTCTACAAAAAGGTTTGTAAGAATAAGGACCTTTTTGAAAATTACAAGAATTATGGTTGAATTATTGAATTATAGGAATTTGTTATTAAATCTAGAAAATGTTTGTTATTATTACAAACTACTTATCCAATTAGTTAACAGATTACAGTTGGTAAAGTTAACATAAAATCTGGTTCTTGGTTAAAATTCACAAATATTTTTTTACAGTGTAGTGCGGAAAATGGACTTTTGTATACCAGTACCGAAAAGTGTAGTTTCCCGGCCTCAATTTTTAAATTTTCGTACACTCGTAGAAAAAAATGTTTTCCTAATTCTGGCAAAAAGGGTTTTTATAAATATTGCGTAAAAAATCATGTAACAATTTTTTTTAATAAATATTTGGTTTATTTGCAAATAAATAAATAAATAAATTAAAATATTATAAATTAATCAAAGGGGCAATCCTTCAAGGAACTCGTTTGCGCGCAGTAGGAACCATAAATCCTGCAATAAAGGTTAAATATTTAGGAAAAAAATGTTAAAATAGGTACTCTCTTAAAATGAATTAGCCAAAAATAACTAATTATTTGTCATATTCGACTAATTGCCACTAATAATTAGTCAAATTCTACTGAATTAAATAGTCAAATTAATAGATTTAAATTTAAAAAGTATTGTTAATAATATTTAAAAGCTAAATATCATTTTTGTTTTGAGCTAAACTCTTTGCATCTGTGTTTGTTTTTAAAGGGACATTTAACCATAGAGATTATATACGAGGTGTGTTCAGAAAATATCGAGAATTTTCGTTTTTTGAAACAAATATTTATTTATTCGTCTACATTAATGTTGTCGCCTTCAAAATAGTCCCCATTGGATATTATGCACATGTGCCAGCTCTTCTTCCAATACTCGAAACACTTCTAAAACTCGATCTTTGGGATAGCCTTTAGTTCTTTCAGCGATGCGCTTTTAATGTCATCTATGCTTGCAAAACGACGGCCCTTTAAGGTTCTCTTTATTTTTGGGAATAGGAAAAAGTCAGACAGAGGCATGTCTGGCGAATATGGAGGCTGGGGCATCATTACAGTATTGTTTTTGGCCAAAAATGTTCTTTAAAATATTTTAAATATTAAATATTTAACAATTTTAGAACAAATTTTGCTGCCACGCTTATCATACCCAAAACATTCGAAAAAATTACATGGGATGAGCCAATCGATATACCAACATCATCAGCGACTTCTCTGATGGTTTATAACCATTTCTTCCACTTTTTCCATGTTTTTATCGGTTGTTAATGCGCTTGTGCGTTCGGGGCGTTCGTCATCTTCAACGTCTTCACGGCCATCTTGGAAACTCTTATACCACTTGTAAACTCTTGTTTTACTTATAGCAGACTCACTATAGGCCTTTGTTAAGATTTCACAAAATTTATTTCATTTTTTAAGCAAAATTGGATACAAATTCTTTGATCCATTTCTTTTAACGAACTAAAAATCGCCGAGCTCATAAAACACGTCTAACCTTAGCGGCTGCCACAGACAAAGTAAACAATGAAAACAGCTAAAGTTTTTATCATACTTTGGGGACATGTTAACCAACATAATAAAGAAAATTTTATGACAACCGGACCCTCCGAACCCGCGAAATTTAACAATTCCCGTTATTTTCTGAACACACCTCGTATATGCATTAAACTCTAACAATAATTTGTTGTTGGCCGCAAGAATTAAAAAAGATTAAGGAAATGAGTTACTTTTAACTCTCAGAAACAGTCAAAGTTGGTGACTTATCTTAAATTAGTCAAACTTTAACCACTTAAGTAGTAAAAAATAACTGTTTAAAAGTGAAAACGACTATTTTATTAGTAAACAATGCTGGTACTAATTCAAATAGTAGAATTTTGACTATTTCATTTTAAGAGAGTAGGTAATAAAAATCACACTTACCCAAAGGGAGTGTCCTCTCCCATTGGAATCGGTTTTCCAGGTAACAAGCCCCAATTGCCGTTTTCTTTCGGACATTTGGCAGTGCAGGGCCGGCCCATTATGGTTTTATTGCTCCGCACGGTATGTGCGAAGAAACAGGCGCTCTTGAAGTGGCTGCAACGTGCAACACCTACAAAAAATTTTGTTAAAAAAAATCGAGAATCAGTTCAGTAGGTTAGTGGCCAGAAGATGGCACACTAACGGTATGCAGCGCCGTAGAAGAGGTCATTTTAACATAAGTTACAAAAAAATCCTATTACTAGTTTTAGGTTATAAGGGTTGAAAACAAAATATCAACAATATGTCAACCATACTGATTTCAGATCGCAGCAAGTAACATTTTTAGTTTTATTATGGCCTTCAAGAACGCTTTAAACCGATTTTTTTTTTATTCAGTTTATTTTATTTTGTTATGTTATTTTTAGTCAAGATCATATTGACTATAACTTTAATTTAGAGGTACGATACATATCGATACAAGTGATACGTACGGGATATCGTTAAAATCGATATAAATTTATGGATCAAATACATTGTATCGATTATTTAGCTAATTATGAGGAATCTTTATAATGCCATATACAGGGTGTCCCAGAACTCGCGCCACATAGAAAACCGGAACGTGCCGAAAGTAACGTGAAACACATATTTGAAAATTAAAATTGTCTAACGCAAAGGATAAGCGAGATAAGAATAAAAAACGATAGCCAATCCCAATAGATGGCCATAGGGAATTCTTTAAATTGCTAGGATACTTAGGTTGCATTGTTGATAATAAAAAATATGTAAAATATTTGGTCCACTGGAATCCAATTCATTGTGACACTGCTGTCAAACTCCTGTCATTAATATTATATTAGGTTATAAATTAAGTTATTATATAAATAATGTTTTCCTTAGATGATTATACTGAAATGATAATTATTATTATTATTATTATTATTTTTTTTTTTTTTTTTTAGACAACGCGAGTTTTTTCCCAGCCCTTTCCTAATCGTTATTTTAAAACATTGGCGTTCTGAAGTATAAGTCATAGATTAATAACCTCATCTTTGAAAGCTTTTGACAACTTAGTTAATACAGTTGGCCAAAAGATTTTTAAATGTTAATACAACAATGTTCTATCGTCTCCTAGCAATTTTTAAAGCTCTTACGTTTAACCTAGGCGAGAGCTCTCGGTATTGGCTGCCGCTTTTTTGCTCTCATTCGATTACACTATCACCTAGAATTTTTTTTTTTTTAAATTTGGCATCTCCATTGCTATCGGCACGCCCCCTTTGTCTCTGTGGCGCGAGTTCTGGGACACCCTGTATATATGAAAATTTGCTTTTGCGGTCGTACTGAGTTTTTAATAATCTACCGTTTCTTTGTCTCACAGTGTATAAACTATTCCACCGAAATTTTGGAAGTTTGTTCGATCAAGGCTGACGGTTGGTATTGTAGCTGACTTTTAAGTGGCTATCACAAAACTAGTTTAGGCATTGGTTTGGTACTTTTTCTATGGTTTGGTTGGTATTGCAACTGACGTTTAAGTAATTTCAAGTTATTTCAAGTTTGCATTGTAAACAATTGCGAAAAAAATTGCAAATTTTTACCTATATTTTTGTTCGTTACCTTCTTAATAATTAAATTCATTTAATCAAAGTTTTTATTTTTTCTTCCATTTTTTTTAAATCTAACCGTATCGTATCGAAATTGTATCGATATTAGCGATATTTTGAAAATTATATCGATATCGTATCGATACGGCTTCTGTATCGAACAGACCACCTCTACTTTAATTACGTTCAACCCGGGGACCAAACATTTTTGATGCGATTACCGAAATTTATAAAAATAAAATTAAAAAAAGGCTTCCTTATCATTTAACTTATTTAAAAAAAAATGGAAATTTGCCTATTCCGAGTATAATAATAATAATATTTAAATTTTTTGACAAAAAACATTCAAATTTCCAAGCTTAATATTCTATAAAACTGATAAAATTGTCAAATTTTGTATAACATTAGCGAAATAATAGTTTTTTATGAGGCGCCGTTTGTGCCATAATTAAAAATAAAAAAATATGTGAATATAAAACAATATTTTAATAATATATAAATGTAAATAAAAAATTATAAAATATTACTTAATAAAATAAAATTATAAATTGAAATTTAACATTATTTTATCAATATAAATACGAAGTTATTATTATTATTATTATTATGACATGCTAAAAATATATGTATATGGATAAACTGCTAAAATTTTAAATGGTAACTGTTGAGGAAATATAAATAACTATAATGTTTATATTGATAAAATAATGTTAAATTTCAATTTATAATTTTATTTCTTTAAGTAATCTTTTATAATTTTTGATTTACATTTATATATTTTTAAAGTATTGTTTTATATTCACATTTTTTTATTTATAATTATGGCACAAACGGCGCCTCATAGGTTCTATGCTAATATCATTTCTTTACATCACTTCTTTACTCAATGCTAATATTTAACCATAAAACAAAAATGGTCTTTCTTTAAAAAATAAAATAATTTTGTTTACACATTTTTCGCACAATTACTAAAATTGGTAATTCGACATATAATTTGAAAAGTTACAATAAATTATATGGCAAAAAGTAAAAAATATTATTGTAATTGTTCGCTTAATTTAAGATTTAAAAATAAATATCTTACGTAAACGGTGTCCCTTACATCCAGGTTGGCGCCTACCTCCGTTAACGCAAAAATCGACGTGTCCAACCTGGTTAGCTTCTCCTAGACCACCCGCGTTTGTGTGGATTATTTGTACTTGATGAGCATCGTCTTTGGTTAGCCTGAAAACCTTCGAGGCATATCGATCGATCAATGGTCTTGCAGGGTCCAAACCTAAAAAAAGTTATTATAATAACAATTAATATTAGATAGTATTAACTTACTATATATTAAAAACAAAATTTATTGTAAAATCATACAAATATGATATGTATTGATGGTTTTCCGGTCTGACGACGTTTCAGTACAATCTCATGTACCATCTTCAACAGCCGCCCAGCAGATGTCCTGAAGATGGTACATGAGATTGTATCGAACATGTATCAGACATACGGTTCTTTTAAGAACCAAAAACCGACAACATGGAGCAGATCCCGGAAAACCATCAATACATATAACGCCCGTGGAAACCTAAAGCAGAACATATATATATACAGGGTGAGTCATTTAACTTGAAACTTTGTAATATCTCAGTTAGTATGCATTTTACGAAAAAATGTTTAAATGATTCGAGGGGGGAAATCAATCAGTACTAAAATTGGTCCTCATACTCTCCTCCTTGTATGGGGGAACAGGGGGGTAACTTTAAAATTTACAATGGAACACCCTATTTTTGATTGCAGATTCGGATCAGGGCGAATTTTCGTTAAATGTACATTTTGTATATATATTTTGTCCAGGCAGGTCAATTTGATCGATTTTTTTTCCTTTGTGATAGAACAGTGTAGGGGAGCGGGGGAGAATGGGAGCCAGTGGGTAATGGGAGCCACCTTATTATTACATGTTGGAACGCCATATTACAACTTCTGAACGCTTCCAACGCTTGACCTTGAGCTCTGCCGGCACCCTTACATTATGTTAATTTAATTCAGTTCGTTTTTATTTGTTGACGGGAGTCCTGCGAATTTCTTTTACGCTTCTAGAGTGACACGTGCAAATTAGTAGCGTGGTAAGTAATACTGCTTTTTGTCTATTCCAAATTATTTTATCAGCGTAGCTTCGTAAAAGTATGTTAGTTTTATTAAATCATATCTGATTTTCTGTTAAATTTTTTATTTTTTATTTTAATCATTTGAAAGAAAAAATCTACCTTTGGGGTAATTGGAGCCATTGGCTCCCATTACCCTATCTATTTGTTATTTATAAATAAATTTCTTTTAGATGCCCAGAACATGGAAAAGGAAGACCGAAAAGGGTTCATGGGCACCAGAAGACCTTCAAAGGGCTGCTCAGTTGGTGGCTAATGAAGGATATATTTGTGATTTTTGTTTAGACAGGAAGAACTAGGGTGGAACCTCGGGTTAAACATATTTGTACCATTTTTTTTTAAATAAATACAAATAATTACTACTATTGTTTATCCTTTTTTTAGTTTTAGTTTGTCCCTATTCCTTCCCAAGCCAGTATTCTTACTTCAACTATTAAAACAACGTTGGCTCCAATTACCCGCGTGATTGGGTAATGGGAGCCAAATGCATTTTTTTCGTTTTTTTTTATAAATTCCATTATAGTCAATTTTTTTAAATTTTGTTTACATATAAATGAACTATACATGTGAACCTTTATATTTAGTTATTTAAATTTAAAAAAAAGGCTAATATTAACATGTTTGGAATTATATTTCCTTAGGTGGCTCCAATTCCCCCCCGCTCCCCTAATATACTGCAAAAAAATTCTATAATTTTATAAATAACAAAAATAAACTTTAAAGAAATAAAACTTATAGGGTTAATCTGAAATAGGGAAGGAACACAAGGAAGAAATTAAACATTGTCCTCCTCCTAACGCATCTTCCTGAACGTTTTATGACACATTGCTTTTGACTTTTTCAAACGTTATTTTTCAGAAATACTGTTAAATGTAAATATCTTTCGGTATTTGTTTGGAATTTCTACTATGCTATAATACAAAATGAAAATAAAAAAGTTAACTTCTAAAACAAGAGTTTTATGTAGCGTTTTGTAAAAGACACCAAAAGTGTACGCAAAAAAATCTTACCTTTAAAATATTTATAAAAAAATTCACACACTTTACACGTGCTCACTTGTTGTTGCCGAACTATCAAACATGTATGCCCTCTAGAAATAACACGATAGTATCTCTATCTCGTGTCTCTATTTCGAAGCAGTCGGCATAGAAGACGACGTTAGGAAAAAGACAAGATTTTTGAATGTCAACTTTAATATTTTTTTCTGTTTAAACTACTTTGTAGAAAACTATTTTATTTTTATATACGAATAAAAGAACTTTCCATTGTTCAAAAATAATTTATTTTTTCAGAAGAAACCTGCAAAGAAGAAGAATATAATCATTTAAATTAAAAAATCGCCTTTGGGGACAGTTAGGTTACAGGACATTTCACCTAGTTTTTCTGCCATATATAGAAACATAAAGTAATTACAAAAAAAATACGATGGGTCCTAACAGGAAGGGGGTATTTAAATATAATAAATACAAAACTTATCAACAAAGGTCAAAAATAAAAATAAAATTGGCTGGGGACAGCAAATGTACATTTAACGAAAATTTGCCCATCATTCGACTAAAAATAGGTATATTTTGTCTAAACCATTTTTTCATATTTGTAATAGATGGCGCTGTAATGAAAAAAAATCAATTTTGTTCGATTTTTCTTCTTGTACGATTCTGCAATAATTTTTCTATAAAAAGATCACTTTTTTTAGTAATAATCATCTTATTAAATTAAATATTATTTTTTTAAGTAACCACGATTTTTTAACTATTTAAGTTTCCTTTGGTTTAAGTTTTATTTATACATTATTTCATTCGGTGATAATTATCAATTGCGCACCATGGTCACTTTTTACCTGCCATCATTAAATCCTTTAATTTAAAGGATTATTGTACTATTTTTAATAAAAATACCGCATTTAAGGTAAAAAAAAAACTTTATTTGGTCAATTAATTAATTTAATCCCAATTGAGGTATAAAAAATGGTATTTAGTTATAAATAATAATTATTATTGAGGTATAAAGAAACTATTTATACTTAGTTTAGCATTATTTAATCAATTTAATTCGAAGATTGATTTGCAAACAAAAAGACGTCCTTTCGTTAAGCAGTTATTCATAATGGATTTTTTTAACAGTGGAAGAAAAAATAGAAATGATTTTGATTTATGGAGAAGCAGGCAGGAATCTTGATGATGCTGTTAATATCTACGCTCAGCGTTTTCCGGATAAAATTCGATCACGTACTTCATTTCACCGTATAGTCAAGCAGTTTACTACAAACGGGAGTGTTGAACCGAAAAAAAGAGTTCGTCGAACAACCTACTTTAATTAAAATTTAAAAAATAAATAAATAAACTTAAAAAATAAAACCAAGAATTTTATTCAAAAATTATTGGAGAATCGTATACAGAAGAATAATCGAACAAAATTGATATTTTTTTGCTCAAAATCATATTGACTATAACTCAAAAGTTATCAAGGGTGGCTAGTTTTTAATTGAAAGCTCTGCAGAAACAATCTTACCGACAATTTTGTGTTGCTTCAAGTCCAAATGATTGCTAACCATTCCGCAAATGTGAGCGCCCAGCGAGTGGCCAACGCAGGTGGTTTCCCTGGCGTCGCCTCCTTGATCCATGATGAACGCGTACAATTTCGCCGTACACTGCCCGACTAGTTTCGTGTTCGAAAGGGACGATAAATAACACGGAAAAATCGTTAGAGGTTCCCAGTCGACCGTGAAAATGTTGTAGTCTGTTCTCGTTAAATAAGCTAAATTGAAAGAAAAAAAAACAATTTAAGCATTAAATAAATTACTTAAACTAATATCAAGTATACTTATCTATTTCATAAATTACCTTATTTTTTACTACTTATGCGTTTTTCGAGGCTAACCATGGGTATCTCGTTTATCTTTAGAGATACATAGTTAGGTGAATTAGTAAAAAATAAGGTAATGTATTAAATATACCGACAAAAGTATGGAACAAATTCATTATTATAGTATTACTATAGTATACTATCGATAGTCTGGGAAGAGAAAATATCGATATATCGATAGCACTATCGATAGTCACTTAATTTTATATTTTTATAATTTTGGTTTTTGGTTTTGCATTTAAATAAAATTAAAATAAATGTTTAAAATTAAATTAATTTAAAAACATGTCTACTTGCCTTTGCACGTATTCCATACTTATTTATTGTGCGATTTTAAACGGATTTGTTTTAAAGTGCAGATCTTGATAATAGTATATTATGTATTAAGTTTAATAAACGCCATTATACTTTTTCTACGAAAAATTCTTATTATTATCTTAAAATGATTTAAATCAAACATTTATATAGAGCGCCATCTATGAAACAATAGGGGAATCTGTGTGTCACCGTCAAATGTCAAATTTTTTTATTTTATAAACACAGATCATAAAGGTTATAAATCGAAATGTATTTCTTGAAAATTGACAGTTTTTCACAGTGAAAGTAAAGAAAATGTTTTATGAGCACTTTACAGTGGAGTCCGTGTCCGAATCTAATTTATAGTTTATTGCCGGCGAAATTAAAAGGTCAGTACAATGTTCATATAAACTTTTCAAATATTGGCGTTGAGAAACTATCTTTTGTATTTTTGTATTGAGATATTACAATAATTTTCACATTTGGTATTATTTTACAAGAAAGGCACTTTATTTTAACGATTGTATGACATTGGACAACTGTCAACTAACTTCAGCCCGTGACTAAAACCTGTTGCTAACTTCAGCCCGTGACTAAAGCGCCATTAAGCCACAACTTGTCAATGTGTACATTTTTAAGAATTCCTATTAGCGGTTTTTTTAAACAAAAATAAAAAAATGCACAATAATAACTACAAACATTTATTTTGTCAAGTTATTCATGAAAAAGACTGAAATAAAATTAAACTAATAGTAACATGGTAATATTACTATATAACTTATATATAAGTTCAATTTTATTTCAATGTTTTTTCATGTATAACTTGACAAAATATATTTTTATAGTTATTATTGAGCATATTTTTCTTAAAATTTTTCAATAAAATTTAGTATAGGATCGTTTTGAGGGATGGTGAATCCAGTGCCGTGCTTAGATTTTGTTTGAAAAAATCGCCAATATGAATTCCGAAAAATTTACTCTTAATCACAATTTCATGATCTATTCGAGTCTTCGAAAAAAAAGAGAGGGGTACAGTTTAAAAAAATGGCCGATTTCGTCAGAGGTTTTATAAGGTATACAAAACTTGCGGAAAATATGAAAATTGTACAGGACTTTTTTGAGAAAAAAATCCGAATTTTTCTATGAAATTGTTCCATACTTTTTCTTTATTTATTTTATTTATTAATTTATTTACATCATCTTACAGTCATTGAACCAATTACAAGATGAGATAGGTATTAAAAACTAAAACTAAATACAAAACAACAAAAAATAATATTGCAACTAAAGATTTAATAAAAAAAAATTTGGTATTTATATTTATATTCTTTATTGTTTGCACTTTGCATGAAAAAATATCGATTTTATCTTGCAACTCATTGTACTTTTGCCGGTCATTGTACATAAAGTAAGTAAAAATAAGGTAATGTAATAAATATACACACCATTGCGTATAATGGTCATTGGGGATTTACTCTCGGTGCCGTTGAATCCGTGGATTATAATGACGTTCTTCTTTTTCGGATCGAATCCTGCATATTTTAAAGACAAATGGTTCCTAATGTCTATCCTTAGCCTTTTCGGTCCGGTTTCGCTGGAAAGTACAAAAATCATGGTAATTTTTATTCATGTTTCACAATTTTTAGAGAAAGGGATGCACTTACTGCGTGTATAAATAATATCGTATATCGTTATCCGGGCATGTGTATTGTTTTTTTAAAACGCACCTCCAATATTTTATATCGAAAATGTTGCCCATGCCACCACTTGCATCTAAAAATATACAAGAAATAAGTGCATTGTTCAATTGCACAATTTTTCGATATATAAATAATCAAAATACTTTTTAATGCAAACCTTTTCTTATAAATAAAAACGTATAATATAATAAAATGGGTGCATAATCATTCCCCACTGGGTCAAATATATTTTGTTTTGCGATTTTCTTCTTATTTTCTTATTTAGCTTTGTTATAACAATTTTTGTTTTAATAGGTTTTTAGTTTTTTTTCAAATATTTTGAGAATCAAATTTTATTTTAATAGGCTTGTAATTATAATACGCAGCTTCTCGGATACACATAAAATAATACTGTATATTATTACTATTAAGATTACTATCTTATATTTACATTTTTTTTGTAAATACATTTTTTTCTGTTGGATGAAAAATAATGTCAAAACTTACTTATGACCTTAATTTTTAGGTACTAAAAATCAGGTCAAATAGTTCATTTTTTATTCAGTAGACATATCACCATTTTATGACTGACATATTAAAACTTTTTCAAACCTCGGTTTGATTTTGTAGATAACTTAAAGTAGCATTTCTCCAAAGATATGTAGTTTATACAGAAAACCATAACAACTAATATAAAATATTATATATATTATATATTATATTATATTATATAATTGGATTTTTCTAATATACATGTGCTTTTAAACAAGAAGAGGGAAAATGAATATTTTTTAATAAATATATATTTAATAAATATATAAATAATAGATTTTACTAATTTTTTTTCATACTACATATGATTAACTTGGAAATAAGTTATGAAAACTTTTGATCCTGATATGCAGGATTCCTTGTCACTTTTTAAATATGCATGCACATGTGAAATACCTACAGGCATTGTTTAAACTTTTTATGTTTTTAATACAGGTATTTAATAATAATAGGTTAATAATTATTAACCCATAGAAATAATAACATAAATAAATTTTGGTTTGTTCATTCACTCATGTTTATTTATTACAAACTTATTATACATAACCTACTATTTCTATGATTTATACATTTTCTTAATAAATATTAAAATTTTTATTGCATTTTCTTTATAAATACTGATTAACCCTATTAATAAAAGGGAAATGTAGGTATTAATACTAAGAACTTACTTTTCTGGCTTTTTTTAAATCAATGTAATATAAAATAAGTATTTTTTTTAACTATTTAATTCAAATAATAATATGGTTATATATTATTGATCAAATTCCATCATTTAATGCAAATAATAATATAGTTATACAGTTGGTATTGATATTCCAACAATATTTATTGTTTTTTTTGTCTTAATTGATTTTGACAAAGTCTTAAAAAAGTAAGTTTTTGCCAGAAGTAGGTATTAGCAATTTCCTTAATTGTCGATTTAAATAAGAGCGGTAAATAAATATTGCATCCTACTTTACCGGCAGTGCATGCTGACCGTGAAATTTTAGTTATAATGGCTCTCAACATGAGGCGCAAAAATAGTTTTTAAATTGTTAGCGTTAACTTGCGCTTATAGTATATTTTTATATGAAAGTCAGAAAAGTCAGTTTGTCGAATTATCTTAAAAATGGACATCCATTTAAATCCGAAGCAGTTTTTCACAACGAAAGTGAAAAGGATGTTTTTATGGGTACTCAAATACTAGTTTGATGCCGGCGAAATCAACTTCAGCCCTTGACTAACAAATCCGAAAGCCACTGTTGCTAACTTCAGCCCTTGACTAAATCGCCTTACAGCTTGTCAATGTGTATTTAAAAGATCTCTTAGTGTTATGAAAACTTGTACAAAAATATGCGTTTTACAGGTGGGAGTGGAAAAAAATATTGGTTCATAATAAAAAAGTTATAATGATTTACAGTTTTGATTTTTTGGCACAAACTGGACTTGCTCCAGGTTATTTTTTAAACATGTGATCCCTAGCTTCATTTTTTATTTAAATTGTTAAGGAGTATTTAAGCTTATTAATTATTATTAAGGATAAAGAATAAAAGACATATGTTGGTACAGTGCAATAATTTAATTGATAATTGTGATATTGATTTTTTTAATACAAGTGTTAGGGAAATCCAAACTTTTTTTAATTGTGATTTTTTGTAGTTTTAGTTTTAGATTTAGTTTATATAGGATATAACTTAGGGTATAGGCACTCTTACATGTAACAACAATTTTATATTGTGTTTGTTTGAGAATAAATAAATAAATAAATAAATAATAATATAGTGCTTTTTTTCACGACTATTTTTATTTTTTCGCTTCCAACTCAAAATCTTGTTTAAAATGTTCAAAAAAAATTCCCTGAAAATTTGAGCCCTTAATATTAACTCAAGTACTCTTCCAAAGCGTATAAAGATTTCCCATTTAAAATACACGTAAACTTTAATTATTTTTTTTTTAAATATCTATATCTCAGCCGCATTTTATGCTATTGGATTGTTTCAAAAAGGGATTTACTCGTAATCAAATGTTCTACAAAAATGCTTTATGTGTCATAGCTGTAATCTGCACCTGTAGGATGGTACGGGTCACTAAATCTTATTTTAGTAAAAATTCTCTTATTTTTGAAGATATTTTAAAAGTGACTTTGAAAAAATGTAAAGGACAAACTTAAACAAATTTAATTTTCTTTAAAAAAGGTCTTATCAGTTGAATCGCTAAGATTGATATTTGTTGAGATATAAAGCGTTTACATTGACAATTTATGAAATTTTTAGGATTTAGGACTACAGAACACATTTATTGTTGACGAAATTCTGATTTGTAATTACGTCGGGTTATTATAAAATATATTTTATATATTTATTTTCTATTTGACATTAATAAATAAAATATTGACAATAAAGAATGTATCATAATAACTATTATAAAAACCTTAACAAAGACAATTATTGTCTTTGTTGAGGTTTTTGTAACAAAGAACTTTCTCTTAATAGTTCTGGTATATTAAAAATTTAGCAAAAATGACATAAAATGATAAAAAAACTTTGTCTTTATAAAAACTGCAGTTAAATGATTAAATTATTTGCTACCATATTATTAGTATTAATAATAAATATTTATGGCCTATAAAAAGATAAAATTAAACAAAATAATAAATTTACAACGAATATTGAACAATTTGTGTAAAAAATATCACTAAATTACTTAATCAAACTTTTAGGCTTTTTAGATTCAGATCACCTTTGATCTTCAAAGATGATTTTAAGGTAGAAAGCCTACTACTCATAATTTTGAAAAATGTTTAATGAATTTGAAAATATTTTAATTAAAGATTACAAAGGTTGTAAATCTGTATAGAAATTGGGACATTTTCTCCCTAAGGACAACACGATATTTTATATTGGTTATCACGTAATCTTAATACCTATGTGAATTTATTATTTAATTATGCACAATTTTAATAAATTTATTGATTAATTTTGCAAGAATAGGTAAATACTTTGACATTTATGTAAAAGGTATTTACTTATTCTTGCGATATCATCAAATATGTCATAAAAATTTGTAAATTTTTATGGGGTTGTAAACCATGTCTTACAAATATTCTATTTGACGTTCCTAAAGTCATGTTGATATGTTCTTCAGATTTTCAGTTTTCTGAAGAAGATAGCAACATGGCTGTCAAAACGTCAAATAGAATATTAAATTTTGTTTAAAACCCAATAACTTAGGTTAATAAAATTATAGGTTAATTTTAATTTAATTTTTTATAGGACTATAAAAACTGTTATACGTTTGAAAAAAAAACAATTTTGACACATTATTATTGACAAAACAAATAAATAAATCTTAATTTACCGTAAAGTCCTCAATTTAATTTATAAATATTTATAGTAGTTTACTACCATTCCAAAAATGAATGTCAAACAAATTAAACAACTAGTTCTGTACCCCAGAGCCAAAATCTCGCTTAAATTGAACGTCTTTCATAGCCCGCTGAACTGTGAACGGAAAATTCACGTGCAACTTCCCTTATGCTCTTCCCACTATTTGCATCGAAGGCATTGAAAACAGATTCTTTATTTTTTGCTGTTCCATTACGTTAAGGAGCACCTTCAATTTCGTTACAACGCAGAACAACTTTACTGTCGATTGTAACTTAAAATGTTAAATAATGACAGGAACAATAATTGGCAGCAGTGTCACAATGAAGTGGATTTCAGTCAACCAAATATTTTACTTATTATAATATCAACAATCCTAAGTATCCTAGCAATTTAAAGAATTCCCTATGTTCATGTATTGGGATTGCCTATCGTTTTTTATTCTTATCTCGCTTATCCTTTGCGTTATCATGTTACTGCTATTCATTTAAAAATGTTCTTAATCCATTTATAAATAATAATATTATCTAATTATCTAATTTTAATTTTCAGCTCATTTATAAATTTATATTTTCAAACCGAAATTAAAGTAAAACTTTATTTGTACAGATTAGTTTTACAAAATATTGGTTATTTATTTAAATCAATATCTTTTTTTAACCAATGTTAAAATTGATTAAATTTTATTTTTTTGAGTAGGAAAATATTTAAAAAATTACAGTAGCATATTATTTCGCTTAAGAAAGGCAAAGTTTTTAAGATTATTAAAAAATAGTTAAAAAAACTTGAATAAATGTATACATTTGGATTTAGGATTCCTAAATTAGGAAGTAATTTTGTTTTTAAGATAAATAGGTTGATAAACGAGTATAATTATTTTTTATCATTATTGGAATAGTTTACACGCATGACATACTTAAATTAAATAAATATTTTAAATTTTTTACCTTGTATTAAATTAGTCGAACTAGCCAAAAGCAAAAACGCCAGTTTAGCCAAATGCATAGTATTGAAAAACGCACTTTTTCACCTTTGATTTCATAAACAAACTAAAACTGGGAAGCCGGATAGTACACAAAGCAAAAACCGCAATAACTATAACTACCGAGAATCTGATAATTTTGAAAACGCGAGCGGCAGATCTACAGCGCTTTTATACTGTTAGCGGTGACTAGGTAGGTAGTCTCAGCTAAGAGAATCTTAACAGAATGATGGTCAACCTGTTACTTTGATCCATTAAACTATAAAATTATCGAAGAAGTCGGCGTAACGGTACAGTTGTTGAAAAAATTTCATATTTTTACGTCTCTCTGACCGTGTCTAATATGCATAAATCACGAATTTACCAAATATTGGCCCACTCATGATGGCCAAGCCATATTGCTAATGATCCGTGCCTAAGCTAAAAAAAAACCACGGAGCCTAGCTAATTGTAAAAAAATTGCAAAATATGTTTTAAGCACAGCCAACTAAGGTCAGTGCCGGGCCAATTCTATAGAATTTATAAATTAAAAAAACTGGATTAATTATTCTAATATCTACTTTGGTCGACAACTATAGCCTATAGGCTAGGGGGCAATCTATGTTAAGTTTATTTTAATTTTAAATTTTCATTAAATTTTTACAAAAAAATTGGTTAACAATAGTATATTGTGCGAGTGAGGTAACACGCTAGCGGAATCCTCTTTTGAGCAATAGTCGCACACAATATTTTATTCAACTACCACAAGGAATTTAAATTTTGTTTTATATTTTATCTCACATTTGACAGCTGTCCATTAGTTTTAACCTCACCTTTTCCAAATTTAACTAAAGTAAAGTTAAAAAATGAAATGGTAGTTGAATATAAAAAAATAATTACTCTATCTTGTCCAGCACATTTTATTTATTTTATTAATACATAATTTATATAATTTTATAATTAATTGCTAAAAAAAAGTAAGCAATTCTTTAAAAGGTAATTAACACTTGTGCACTAAAAAACAAATTTACAAAAAATGAAAATGTCAATGCAAAAAAAATAATGGATTAGAAATTGTCATACTCCTATTCCTATTTGCAACACTTGCGGTCCATCTCAATAAATTATTTTGTCATTTTCCTTCTTTTTAAATTATTAATGGTTACTTACTTAACCGTTACCTAATTAATTAATAACTAATAGTAGTAAAATGTAATTTGTAATTTATTGCACATGAATTCCAATAACATTTTTATTATTTACAAATCTTTTATTATAAATAATTTAGTAATATATCTATATATACAGGGTGGTATAATGGTACACAGTTATATTCCTTGGGTAAAAATATTACGATTTAAACAACTTTAGCTTAATTCAAAAGTTTATATATCCCAATGAAAATTGAATGTTTAATTTTCCTAATTATCTTATTTTTAGCAATTTTTTTACAAACAATTTTATGACTGGAGGTTTTTGGGTCGAGAAATTCGAATTTGTTAATAATTTTGATGTAGATTGTACAGTTACGGAAAGAAGTAATGTCCATTTGAATGCTCCATTGTAATTGTTCGGAGGCATTCGGAAATAGTCAACATCTGCCGCTTAGGGATTTATTTAAAAATATGTCTATATTTAGAATTTACTACCTGCTTGTATTGAATTAATTATTTTGGGTATACTACATATTTAACTGTATTTTTATTAAATCGTTAATTTTTTGATATATTTTTGTATAGTTTTATAAAGATTTATTCTATGAAAAAACTTTTAATAAGAACTTTTTAGGCTATAAATAATATTATCAGGTTGTAGTTTTTTAAAACTTACTTTACATTTTTCAGAACTAGCAATGATTCAATACACTATTTTACATCAAAGGAGTAAAAACACATTTTATTATTAGTTGCACTTTTATGTGTTAAAATTAAAAACATATATTTAAATTTTTTATATTTGGTAAATTTTTAAATTAAATATACTAGGATTTATCAAAAAATGTTTAATATATTAATTATTATAATATAAAAGTTAACATACCTATAAAACTATAACATACATATAAAAACTATAAAACATATAAACATAAATAGGTATAAAAATCCTCACCAAACATGGGAAAAAATAATTTTATGTTTGGAATTTTATACCTCAGTATCAAAGTAACTTTTGGCAATGATCATTGCAGTTTCTTATATAAAACGCTCTACAAAAAAGTTCTCTTATTATTTTTCGATAAATTAATTTCTTCTAGAGTTATTCGAGGTCAAAGTTTGATTAACATCAAACGGGAGGTGAAATGGGGCAAAACAAGGCAAGGCAAGATGTATAAACAGAAAATAACTTAAATACAAAAAACTTAAATTATGTCATAAAAGTAGGTAATACATTTTACAGACCAAAGTTCTTCCGGATTAAAATGTTAAAAAGTATTTTAATTTAATTTCATATTAATATTTTAAATGTAGGACAAATTTTTAAATATTTGATAAAAAATATTATATAATTATTAGACAAAAAAATCGAATATTTATTTTTAAAGTACCTGTAAAATATTGTTCAGAATCTAAAAAAAATGGTCCTGTTAAATCGGGAATTATTATTTCCCATTAAAATAATATGAGATTTTTTAAAATACTTTAAAATTGTATAACTCGTAAAAGGATTAGTAAAACTGAAACAAATTTTGGTAGGGCTCTTTTAAAAGGTATTCAAGGTAAAAGTTGAATTTATAGAAATTTTCAAACTTTTTCAGCGAAACAAAATTTATGGTAAAATTTAGTAGGACCCTTTTTTAGGAAAATTTTATCTAAAACCATGAGCAAAGAAAGCTGCCTTTTTATTTAAAAAGAAATGGTAAATAATTACATTATTAATTATAGTTGAAGCATGTAGTAGATAGATAGATAGATACATTTATTAAGTAATAAACATTACATTAAGCGTCAGGTACATATGTATATAAAATTTAAAAAATAAAATAAAATGAACATACACACATGTCCAAAAGTTTGGAATATTTACAAATAATATATCTACGCCTATGGTAGTTTAAAAAAACTGTTGTTAATATTTACTCTATTTTCTCTGTCTTTGAGGTTTATTTATTATTGGTCGGAGTCGTTATAAAATGGTATTTACCTATATAAAAAATATATATATAAATATCAATAAAAAAAGAAATATTGCAATATTCCAAACTTTTGGACATATCGTCGTTTATCTGACAAAGAGGCGTAACTCAAAAAAAATCGTTTTTGAGTTATACCAGAATGATCACCAAAATCGACTTTATAATCTCACAAACTGGCGTAGCTCTATAATAAATAGGTACAAATAAAGTTTTAGCATAAAGCAGTTTCGGCGTAACTAATATTTTTGCATTTTGTGTGCCGTACAAACTGGCGTAATTCAATTCACACCGTTTTGTTTAAAAATGAGATACGCCTCTTTGTCAGATAAACGACGATATGTGTAGCTATAGGTATAAAAAACATATTAAAAAAACGGTTTGTATACAAATATTATATGTATACATATAATATAAACAACAATAACATATTTATAAACATTGAAAGTTAAAATTAGTATTTAAGTATTCATTTAAAGAATAATAACAATTTTGGATTAAAATACTTTTCACAGATTTTGAAAAAGCTTTGGGATTCTTTATTTTTTTTATTGATTCTGGAAGATGATTAAACAGTTTCGGTCCCCAATAGTGAATACTTTGTTGTGCCAATTTGCTTTTGTGAAGTGGAATTTGGAAAAAGTTCATGTGCCTAGTATTGTAGGTGTGATTTTCAGAATTTCTATCAAATTCGTCTGAATTTAAATATACATACTTTATTGCTGCCAAAATAAATATAGATGGAATTGTAAGTATTTTTTGATTTTTAAAATGTTCTCTACAACTCTCATTTGTTTTTAAATCACAGATTATTCTAATCGCTTTTTTCTGTAAAATAAATATTTTGTAGGAATCGGTAGAAATCCCCCAGAATAAAATTCCATAACTGGCAATGCTGTGAAATAGCGTAATAGGCTGTTTTTGTGGATATCATATTGGCACAGAGTTTTAATCTTCTCATGCAGTAGATTGCACTGGTAAGTTTTTTGCTAATGACTTCTAAAGGGTGTATCAATAAGAGCGCAAGATTTTAAAGTTTAGTAAAACATGGTTTTAAGTATTAAAGCATTGAAATATTTATTGATTTATAAAGTACACATTTGGAAATTATGTATAAAATAACACATCTGGTAAATGGCCACCACGGCTTAACTGGCACAAGCGTATTCTTTTGGCAAAATTTGCAATAACATTATTGAATACATGTGGCGGTATTTCGTTGATAGAGCGTCTAATTTCTGCTTTTAAGGCCTCGATGGTGGCGGGCTTGTTGGCATAAACTTGTGACTTCAAATAACCCCACAGCCAAAAGTCCAAGGGTGTTAAATAGTGGTGAAAATGGGCCTCATCACTGAAAATGATTTTGTCCGCAAAATCGGCATTCACTTCTTGCTGCTCAAGGATCCAATTGGTGAACTCTCTTCTCTGTTCATGGTCTTTTGGCTGGAGTTGTTGAGTCAATTGGACTTTGTAGGCATGAAGATGCAAATCTTAAGTAAGAATTCGCCGAAGAGTGGCTTTTGTAATGTCCAATTCTTGTGCACGTTGGCAAATCGACGTCTCTGGACTCTCGGCCACACTCTTGCGAACTGCTGCGACATTTTGTTCTGAACGAGCTCGTGTCGTGTGTTTCACATCACTAACCGAAGCAGTGCTTTCAAATTTTTTGATTATTCTTTTCACAGTAGATGAATTAGGAACATTATTTCGAAAAAATATTGGACGCCCTTTACGAATCGTGGCAATCAAACTTTCATCATTTTGATAATAGTGTTTAACAATCAAGACGGGTTGTTCTATCGTGTAATGCTCTATATTTACTAACTTCCATCTGTCTCCTATCAATCTGTCATGTCAATAATCATGTGACATCATGGTTGCCAAACTGAGGCGAAATTCAAATCTTGCGCTCTTATTGATACACCCTTTACATGTTTGTTCCATTTAAGTTCACTATCTATATGAACACCCAAAAACTTGATTGTAGTTTTACTATCTCCAAAAAAAGTTATTATTTGTGTTTTTTTCTCATTTAATTTGAGTTTGTTGGAGTTCATCCATTCTTTGGCTGTTTTTAATATAGTTTTAGATTTTTCACCTATATTAATTTCTTTAGGAACTTTA